TATATATATATATATATACATACATATATCTATATATTTTGATAATTTGAAGAAAGGTGGAGAAGGTACGTGCATGTGTGTACATTCTTAAAAAAGGAGATTTTTGTCATTTTTAGATTTTTGGGATAGTTGTGAGTGCAAGAATTTGCATGAATATTTTGGATAGGGTTGTCCTTGATAGATTGCTTGCGTCACATGCTTAATTCATCAATTCTTAGGAGCTAGCATTTTGAGCCAATAAACCTTTGCATTAGGACTTGAGCAAAGGAATTACAATTCTTCTAAGTGAATATCGAGTTGTCTTTGCTGCTCTACCTACTTAATATGAACTCATAGCCATGTAGTCAGGAAACATTTTTTTGCCCCTATGTCTTGGCCTGATGTAATGCCCTATCTCGAGTAGATTGACTTGTACTTGTCTAAACTCATTGTGAGGACCATATAAATCTTGACCTAGTATTTGGGTTGTGTTTGGTTGTATGACTGGCCTTGTCATGGTTCATAAGGATGAAAAAATTTTATTCCCTAATTTTTTTGCCTCTTTTTGAAACTATAAATACTCGAAATGGTTGTGATACATATCAATTAATCATGTAAGTATACATGTTGATCAAGTAAAATGCTGATTATGAGCCTGCACATTGATTCACAAAAAAATTTGTCCCTGTATTTCTAACAGAGAAAGTTCTAATTTACTAAAATTTTGAATCTAGTTTGAAGGTTGAGTTTGCAGAGAAGAAAGTTCTAAAATCCTAATGCAATAAGAAAAAGTTAAACTAGATTTTGTGAAGTTTTTCAGATATGAAAGGTCTGACACCAATCTAATGGTTTCTTGATATTTTCTTATGAAATCCATACTATTGTTGATAACCTTTAACATGTCCTCCTTAGCATATATAGGTCATAAGAAGATTTGGAATCATATTACTGTGAAGGGGACTTAACCATGTGGCATTTCTCATGAATCTTGTTGTCCCTTATTCAGGTTGTAATTGTCTAATGATAATATGTCTATTCCATGAGGCTATGTGATCTAACCTACTTGTTCTTCTGGGCGATGGTTAGCAGTCCTAAATCACAAGGGATTTTAATATTTTTTTCTAGTCAGATTCAAAGTAAATTAAAACTAGACATTTAAGAGATCGACATAAGGAATCCAAGCACAGAAAAGAGTGTTTATAAAACAAAATTTATTGAAGAAAACATTGAGAAAATTATATGGCTTACATTACTTGAGTATGAAAATAAGATTAACTACTATGCAAGAGAAAAAAAATATGAAAATTATTATTGCGAGCAAAACTAGTAAAAAATTCAAGAAATAAAAAAAAAAAACTCAAACCTGGGAAAATTAGTCCTTGCAATATACCATAATAGGGTTTAGGGCATCCAAATAGGCTAAAATAGTATTCCAAAATTTATTTTTGCATACAGGGAGCATCCACTTTGCTCCGTGTAGCGATGTGGGCATGCCATTCTCTTTTGGAAATCAACATGTGTGCGCTGGTTTCGGGTGCAGGTGAGCCAAACCAAAACTCCTTTCTTTCCTCTTTTGGCTCCCACTTTACCTCTTTTGCTCCCCAAGTTGTTTCATCTTTAATAATCTACAAAACATAATAATATACTTTCTATAAATGTAATAAAACATGAATTTACATATAAGAAAATCTCACATATTTTGCTACATTAAAATGCCTAAACTTACCTACTTGTCATCATGTAATCTCATATCTAACTGAGACTTAAATCATATTCATATCTTTCATATGAGACTTTTTGATTTTCTAACTAGAATATATAAGTGAAATAGAAGATGTGCAAATGCCATTTTAGGGTAGAATTTTTATTAAATAATAACCTAACCCTTTCCTTAAGTTGTCTCGTTCTGAGCTTAAGCTTATCACAAAAACACTTAATCAAGTGTGATTGAAATAGTTTCATTTCCCAAAGATATTCTTAAGAATTTCTTTAATATCAACTCAAAATCACTTTATGTTTTTTTGAATATAATATCATAAAAAATTCCTTAAGAGAGATTTTGAGTCTTATTAATTAAGAAAGACTTTAGACACCAATGTTTTATTTTTTATTCTCATCTCAAGTTTCTTATCAGGGAGACTAACAATTTGTTTTGATTTTTCTTTTGAAGCACGCTTCTCATAGTTTTTTTTTGTTTCATTTTATTTTTTATTTTTTTGTTAACTACACTGAGAATTAATATATCTGGTTTAACACAATTTTTTAAGGATTTTGAATGTATAATCTTTCTTAATTGATATCTCATATGCATCTTAATGTGAGCATTAAAACATTATAATCAATTCGAAAAGCAATGACTCAAATAAATTGGCTGATTTTATAATTAAAAAGATTAAAGTATCTACAGTTAAATACTTTTATTTTAATCAATAACAAGTGCTCAACCTAGCCTTCTTGCAAAAAAAGAAAAATGGAGAAAAGTGGAATTTCAACATTGCGAGTGTTACCATATGATTGTTGCTAGTTTGTTTAGGTACCGTTCCAATAGTTCTACTTCACAAGAAGAAGTTCTCTTATGTTGTGATTAAGTCCAACATCCCCATCCTTGATAGCCATCCCTATTAGTTCCCCAAAGTTAACACGAATCTTTGGTTTGCACAGGACAGGCAGGCTTCGTGCATAAGGGAGGTAAAAAAAAATGGTAAGTTAACTATCTTCATTTACGAGGCAGAAACTTTTAAACTTGCGGAACCATGGCATTTCACTATTGTTTGAAAGTTTCAGTTTGAGCATCCAAAGATGGATCTAATTCATAAGTTCTTTGATGGAATGAAGTTGCTCAGTGAATGGAAAATATTTCTTTTTTATAGTAGGGCTAATTCACCTTTGTAGAGAGGAAGACTATGCTACTATATTTTCCAAAAAGTTGCTAAGGATTGAAAATACTTACATGAATATTCTCAAGGGGCCCCGTAATTTTGATCCCTAATCTGAGCCAGCTATTATCCCATTCTGGTTTAAGTTCCTAGGCGTAAAGTTACGTATCTTCAACAAATGAATATTTTTCTCAATTAGAGCATTCTTTGACAAACTACTAAAACTTAATCATCTCAAATTTTGGTTGAGAGGGATATCATTCATCCTGTTGGACATGACATTTGGATTGGTTCCCCTCATAATGGGTAATGATAACAAGTGGTTGTTGAGCAGCAACCTTATTACCGTAGTGAATGTTGTATGCTTGGACAATTATTGAGAATATGTTATATTGCACACCGATATCTTAGAAAATTTATGACCATGAATGTATTTGATGAAGATGAGGAGGAACAAATTGCACCAAAGAATAAACATTTGGATGACTTGGTCTAAGTGGAGGCAACTAAACAGAATACCTAATAAAACATAGAGACTACCTTTCAAAATCTTTCGAACGATATAAAACATTTACTTAAGAGTGATATCATGCAAATAGGTCTCTAAAAGTCATGATGATCAATATGGGGTGGTATGAAATCCCCCTCTTCGTAAATGCTGATTATACAACTGTCAGGTATGACACTTTAGGGAAAAAATATACCACGCCACCAATCTCTTAATTATTTTAATAATTATATGTGGCATTGAGTTTACCTAGTGGTAGCGTAAAATGCCAGGGGATTTCCATCTCTGTCTGTAGCAAAGTTGTATTGGATAGTGATCCTTCTATTTCCTCATTTACAATGGCTGGGCTCTGAGTAAGTTTTTCTTTCCAAATTATTGGCTCACCCCCTGCCATGAGCTTTGAGCAAATGATCAACAATAATTTCATATTTGTCTTTGTTGAAGGCTCTAGCAAACAGTTGTAGGCCCTCTAATATATTAATTTTCTCGCCATTGACTTTTCTTGAATACCGGAAAGACTGTCATATGATAGCCTGCTAGTCATAGGTCCTTCTAGTGCTAGATGGTTTATGATCCGTGTGGTGTATGGATCCAGTGTGAAGATGCGTCTCTCCAACTCGTCTTCCTTCAGATCAAAGTTCTCTATCCCAAGGATATGATACACCTCGCTAGGGGTAGACTGTAGAATTTGAAACTCAAATTATGGAAAATATTCATCCATGGGTTGCTGCCGGAGCTCCTGCCCCTCCGTCCTTCGACTCTCTTCAATCCCTTGTTCATATTTCTTCTTTGAGTATGGGCCAGCCCTATTTTTATTTTAGTCAGTCCTGCTATGGAGGCACAACTACTACTGATTTCATTTTTCCTCCATCGGTAGTCAGTCTCTGGCTTGTCTGCTCCATCTTCCTTTTTATGGCTTTCTGAGGTCTAAGACAAAACTCTAAGAAAGATTGCCTTCCCCTCGCTTCTTCTTGACACAAAGTTGACAGCAATATGCCACTATAGATCAGCTTAACTTGCTCCATGTCGAAATCAAAATTGATTATGGATCCTTTTTCTATGGACCTGCAGTCTAAGGACAAACATACACAATTGCAAAAAGGTAGAAATGAGTATGAGTTTGACATTTTCCTGCATAAAACATGAAAAATATAAGTGTGTCAATTTTATGTTTCTATTATGATGTGTAGAAAAGTATGCTTAAGTTCCTTTAAGTATTGCACATTTTTATGGATGACAGTGCACTTTAAAGAAGGGTAATTTTATAGTTTTCTTACAGATACAATAGGTAGTAAAAGTGGAACGAATTGAAGAAGAAATGGAGTGAAATG